GGACAAAATTGATGGAGTTGCTATGGGTTCTCCATTAGCACTTGTACTTGCTAATCTGTTTATGGGTAATTTTAAAGAAAAATGGGTCAAATCTTATAATGGAGAAAAACCGTTGTTTTACAAACGTTATGTAGATGACATTTTTACTGCTTTCCCCTCAGAAAACCACGCAATTTTATTCTTGGATTATATAAACAAAAGACATTCTTCAATATCTTTTACCGTGGAAAAGGAAGAAAACTCAAAAGTATCTTTTTTGGACATAACTCTATGTAAGTCGAGCAGTTCAACAATTACAACAGTTTTTCATAAAAAAACTTTTACTGGATTATACACCAACTTTTACAGCTTTACTTCGTTTTCATATAAAATAAGTCCTATAAAATGTTTAATTGATAAAAATTTCAAAATTAACAACACTACCCTTGGTCTCCACTATGACATTAAAAATCTTTTGAGACCAAGGTCAAGGCCTTTATTTTTGGCTTTAAGGCTAAGCCAAGGTCAAGAACTAACAACTCTAAATTAACCTGATGTAGTATGGTCATTTCCTTTATTAATTGATTTTGAAAAAAGTTATCTTATTTTTTGTAGCTAGGATTGTGAGGTATTTTTATTTAATAAAAATTTAGAATTATGTTGAAGTATGTATTCATTTTATTTCTTTTATTATTATTTTCCAATAATTTGTTTTTTACTGCATTTGAGTACAGTGGTTTTTATCTTTATAAATAGTATAAACCATATCAGATATGTTTATATGTACCAATTGTGTTTAGTTTAAAAATATTTTTATTTTATATATCAATATTTTGATCTCTATGCTTAACTGCACGTTATTATAAATATTATTCATGTAAAAGTATTAGCAAAATTGCTAATACTTTTACATGAACTGCCATTTTTTTAAATAAATTGAAATTGTGTACTGAAATTATTAACAAATCGTTGGCTTTCATTTTGTGTGTGTGTGTGTGTGTGTGTGTGTGTGTGTGTGTGTGTGTGTGTGTGAAGATATATTTTAGTTTTATCCTCATTTTGTAGGTATTTCGACATTTTCGGCCTGTTTTATTTCAGTACACATTTTCAATTTATTAAAAAAAATCAAATAAAAGTTAATATTTCTCCTCAAAGTTTTGTAACGTTTAACTTATTATAAATTAAACTATTTAAAAATATAAGTTATGGTAAACAAGTTTAAAACATATTCTACTATTAAAGAAAATTTATATTTATAAATCGACCAAATAATTTTGATTCAAAATTTAATTTCTAAAAAAAATTTATTAAAAGTTTGTTAACGCAAAAATTTTTACGCAAGAAAAAAAAATTAAAAAAAGTTTTCTTATCAATGCCAGAAATTTGGTTCTAGGAAGAAATCCCCCAGGAAAAAATCCCCCCCCCAGAAAAAATCCCCTCGTAAAAAATCCCCCTTCCCCCCTCCCCCTCCAAGTACTCGATTCCAACCAAATGCCGCTCTCTTGAAATTGAAATTAATGATATTATGGAAGTATAACGGTTGTTTAATACTATTAAAAAAAATCAGCTGCGACTAACAATAACTTAGACTTAAAATCAATTTTGAAATTTCAAGATTTTAGACTAATTTAATTCTTACTTTACAATGCATTGTGACGTGAAAAAATTTATTTGTCTGGAAATTTGAAGTTTATAAGATACTATCTGTTTATATGAAGAATATTTAGTTGATAACGGGTGACAACTAAAAAACGAGACTGGATATAAAGACACATATCTCCTTAAAGGAATAAGACTTTAAAAATAGGAAAACTGTTTTAGAAGGTATTTTTATTCTAGTTTTTAAATATTTTATGTGCTTTTATTTGTTATAGAAAAATGAATAAAAAAATAAATTCAAAACAAGAAGAGATTAGAAAACGTGAGTATGAATTTTATTTAAATTGCAAAAATGCTGGTAAAAAGTTCACTTATGACTACTTTAAAGTTGAGAATATACCTAAAAGTACTATCTACAAGATAATTAAACGTGCTGAAAGTAAATCTGGGTACCAAAGAATTCAAGGAAGTGTAGTAAAAGCTAAAAAAATGACCAGGAAAAACATTGAAAGGCTCAAACTCATGTTTGACCATAAAGACGGAGTTTCTTAACGACAGGCAGCTAAAAAGTTCAACTGTACTCAGCAATACATTAGTAAAACATTAAAAAAAAAGAAAAAATAAAAATGACGATTCCAAAACGCTCTGACCAGCGAAAACCAGTAGCTAGAACTAAGTGCAATCGATTGAGTCAGAAATTCAAAAAACGTAAACCAATCATTGAAGATAAGTCTTATTTCACGTTAAATCACTCCAGTATCAATGGGTATATTTTATACTAGTGATGTAAAATCTACTCCATTTAAATTTAAATATCAAACAAAACAAAAGTTTCAAAAGAAATATTGATTGCAACTATGTTCCGAAAGTAATAAAAATATTTGAATAAATTTACACTAAATTATAGATATTTAAATTTTCTCTTGGAGTAGCATTATTAAAACTCTTATCTAATAATAACATAACTCGGCTTGAAGTATTTGAAAAAATTAAAGACACTATTTCATCACAACTTACTTCAAGACAAATCGATCAGTTTAATAGTATGCTCATAAACAATTTAAACGTATCCATCAATTTAAACGATGATTTTACTTTTTTTTAAAAAGCTCTTCTCAAATTTGTATGCAAATGCCGATCAAAATTTAGCAAAAAATATTTTTGAAATAAGAGCAAATTTTTAAGTGGCGAATATTCGCGACGAAAAAAAAGTGTTATCCTGATGGTATTTATATAGCTGCAAATGGAATGAAAGCCGAAGTTCCACTGAAAAAATTCTTATACCATACAGTTCATTGAATGCTGCAACTAACTACTGTTAAAAACAGAATATCTTAAATTGATTCCTTTGAATCCTGTTTAGGAATGAATTTGAATTGCAAATGGGGCTTTGACGGTGCAAGTAGCCAAAAACAGTATAAACAAAGATTTTCCGTCCAAATAAACAACAATGATGAATATAATGTTTTAATGTCTGATCAAAGCTTTAATGTCTGAGTGCAATGATTATTGATGTAGAAATAATTGAACCAGAAGCTGAAAAGAAGCTTGTAATTGAAGTAAGATTCAATCTTAAACTTACAATGATTGATGGAAAAGCAGTTAATGCAATTTGTGACAATAAATCGGCTCAAATTTGTAATATTTGCAAATGTATCCTAGATCAATGAAAAACTTAGATAAAGCTCTGATCAGTTTAACAGATTCGCAAAGCTTAGAGTTTGGGTTATTGTCATTACATACATGGATTTGATGTTTTGAGTGTACTCTACATATAAGTTATAGACTTGATATTAAAGAATGGCAAATACGTGGACCTGAAAATATAAAATTAGCAGCTGTAAAAAAAATGTTTGTTCAGCGTGAATTTGCAAAAATTGGCCTTATTGTTGACATGCCTCTTCAAGGCGGATCTGCGACATCAAATGATGGCAATACTGCTTGTCGTGCCTTTTATCAGCAAGCAGAGTTTTTGCGAATAACAGAAGTCAAGAATGATTTAATATACAGGCTATACATTATTCTATCTGTCATTTGAGCAAGTTCAACACCGAGCCACAAAACATATTGCCTCCCTTAAACACCTTTCGTATGCTCAAAGACTACCAAGCCTTAACCTGAAAACACTAACTGAACGACAAGAAAAAGGAGGCTTTATCGAACAATATAAAATCATGACCAAAATTGATAAAGTTAAATTTCACGTCAACTTCATCCTAACACGGAATCTTCAAATTACAGTTTTTGGCCGCGTGGACACACTAAAGAACTAAAAGCACAACTTGTCCGAAACTGCGCTGAAAGAAGCAACTTCTTCACCAACTCTATTGTAAGATTATGGAACTCTTTAACCCAAAATGCGGTGAACGCAAAAAACTGGAACAATTTTAGACACAAACTTACTCTGCTACGGCATCTTCACTTAAGCTGAAATTGAAAAACTGTATTTTCATAACAGAGAGGCCTGGCGTGCCCCTCTTTGTCAAAAAAAAATTTGTAAATTTATTTTTGACCATGAATGAATAAACCTAATCCTAAATTAATTTGAATAAAAAAATTAACAAAGCCAAATATGAAACATATTGTTTGGAAAGAGCAAATATTTTTGTTGGAGAGTACTCATGGTTTTACATGTCAGCCTCAGTACACAATCTACTCATTCATAGTAGTCTGACAATATCTAGATTTATGCTACCAATTGGAATGTACTCTGAAGAAGCAATTGAAGCTCGGAATAAAGATAATAAAAATATTTGTTTACAACACACTCTTAAATTTGATCGAAAAGCTACAATGACGGACCAATTCAATTATTTAATACTGACATTATCGAATCATCTAAAAATGAAAACACTGATTTGCCATTTTATTACTATGCTGACTCTGAATACACTGACTAAGATTTTATTAATATTATTTTTACCATTTGATTTATGCAAAATTACTATAATATAATGTTGCGTTAATATAACTATAATATAATGCGAAATTACTATAATATAACGTTGATTGGGATCTTATAATGCAATCGGTAGAGGTAAATAATGTCTATGAACTATTTCTGAAATTTTTTTGTGAAACCTTTCCGGAGAAAAAAATTGTTATAAATACCAAGTCATATCAAGCTCCATGGATGTCTAAAGGCTTATTAAAATCTTCAAAGAAAAAAAAAAGTTGTATGAAAAATTCTTAAAAAAAAAACGTATAAAAATGAAACAAACTAAAAACTTTATAAAAATATATTTGAAAAAACTAAACAACAATCAAAAAAAATTTACAATTCAAAGTTGTTAAAAAAAACTAACGGAAATGCCAAAAGTACGTGGAGCGTAATTAAAGAAATTATTGGCAGAAAAAATAATGGAATAAGTATTCAACCAAAGAAACTCTTAGTAGATGGTAAAATAATATATGACAAGTCAATGGTAGCTGAAAATCTAAACAGCTTCTTTCTTAATATTGGTCCAAACTTAGCTGAAAAAATTCCTTCAAGTTCATCATCGTTTGATTCTTATTTAAAAATATATGATAAGGTCATGGACGAATCTAAACTAGATATTAATGAGTTACGATATGCTCTAGATAATCTTAAAAACAACACAAGTGTAGGTTTTGAATATTAGCATAAATGTTGTTAAATCAGTTTTTCATATTAGAGAAACTCCCTTATATCACATTTTAATCTTTCTCTTCAATCTGGAACAGTTCCAGAAAAATTAATAATTGCACGGGTCTTGCCTATTTTTAAGTCTGGCGATGACACAGATTCTTCAAATTATAGACCAATATCAATTTTACCATGCTTTTCTAAGTTACTCGAGCGTATAATGTATAATAGGCTAAACAGCTACTTAACAGTAAATAACATGTTGTACAACAAGCAATAAAAAAATCATTTAACTGATCACGCTTTGACCGAGTTAGTAACTCATGTAACCAATGCCTTTAATGAAGACCGTTTTACATTAGGAGTATTTATTGATCTGTCTAAAGCTTTTGACACAGTCAACCATGTCATTCTTTTAAAAAAAACTTGAACATTATGGAATAAAAAACAATAATTTACTATGGTTTAAAGATTACTTATTAAACAGACAGCAATACATTCAATATGAAAATGTTAAAACGACAAAAAGTATAATAAAATGTGGAGTTCCTCAAGACTCAATCCTAGGACCGTTACTGTTTTCTCTTTATATAAATGATCTATCTCTTACCTTGAACATACTAAACTTTATTTTATTTGCTAATGACTCCAATCTGTTTTATTCTCATATGGATATTAAAACCCTCTTTAAAGTAGTTAATGAAGAAGTAAACAAAGTAAATGAATGGTTTATTTTTTCACTTTATTTTTTAACAATATTTCACAAGTATTTTTATACTTTCACTTAACGTTAACAAAACTAAATTTATTCTATTTCACAAATTAACCAAAACAGGAAAATTACCTTCCTTTAAAATTACCCAATCTTAAAATCAATAATATAAATATTACTAAGCAAACAGCTGTAAACTTTTTAGGTATTATTTTAGACGAAAATTTAACATGGAGGAAACATATAAACACTCACTTGAAAGAAAACTTTCAATAAACATTGCAATGATGTATAAAGCAAAACCATTTTTGGATATAAGATCTCTAAAAAGTTTATATTTTTCATTCATACATAGCTATCTAACTTACGGCAATATCGTATGGGCAAGCAACAGTTACGCTAAGTTAAAGAAAATTTATACTAAACAAAAACATGCATGTAGAATTGTATTTGGAGTAAAAAGAACTATGCCTTGTGAGCCACTTCTACGTAAACTCGATGCATTAAATGTGTTTAAAATTAACATATTCCTCGTCATACAGTTCATGTATCAAATAAAATATGGACTGTCTCCAGCAATATTCTATCCTTATTTTAGAGAAGTAAGCCATAAATACCCCACCAAGTTCTCAGAAAATAACTTTGTAACTCAAAAGTATAATCTAAAGTTATGTTCTTATTCTATTCAGTACCGGGGTCCAATTTTGTGGAAAAACTTTCAGCATATTGTTAATATTTAAGAAAAAACATTTCCGCAATTCAAATCTAAATTAAGACGTTATTAAGTACTTACGGATTTTAATATAGCAGATCTTCTATGTTACTTTTAAAGTTTTAAAATTTATTATACTAAATTAGCACCATAAATTTAAAAATCTAGACTATTTAAAAATACTAAGAATTTCAATGTCTTTATCATACTTTCATTGAAAATATATATTCTCTTAAAGTTACCTACAATTTTCTTAACATATTTTATATTATTGGAAGAGAATTTTTATTTGAATTTTGAATTATTTTGAAAGAAAATAATATATACAAATATATATGTCGAATCACATCCAATTTATAACCAAAAACAGAAAATTTTTGTCATTTTTATTACTATATTTTAATCATTTCTTTTTTTTTTTTTTTTTTTTTTCTTTTTAACTTTGTTTCTTAACATTTTAAATTGTCTTTTTTTAAATACTTTTGCTTATATATTACGGATTATTGTATATTACGGATATTTATTTGCGTTACTATTGGGGCTCGGTGATAAGGCTATTTTATGCCTTCTTCTTGCTCCAGCCAATTGTACTTTGTAAATATTTTTAACGGCGAAATAAATTAATAAACTAAAAAAAAAAAAAAACTATGTGCACTAATTTGTAAAATAGAAATAAAATTATAATCTTGAGCATTAAAAAATAAATTCTAAGTTTTAAATGATTATTTAATATTACCAATATAAAATATAGTTAATGTAGTTCACTAAAAGTCTATATGAAGAATGTTAATGACTAATAGTTCAAATATTTTTTAACCCTTACAGTATATGCAAGTGTCTAACTTCACTTTTCTTACAGTGTCTACGTTAATTTTTTATGCTTAAGGCTTTTTAAAGTTTTTAACGTTACAATTTTTTTATCAAATCGCTTCAATTATTAACTAATTAGTCTTTAATGTCATAAAAATTTTAAATTTTTATGACATTAAAGACTAATTAGTTAATTAATTGAAGTCACAATGCATTGTAAAGTAAAAGTTAACTAATTAGTCACAATGCATTGTAAAGTAAAAATTAAATTAGCCTAAAATCTTAAAATTTCAAAATTGATTTTAAGTCTAAGTTATTGTTAGTCGCAGCTGATTTTTTTAAATAGTATTAAACAACCGTTATACTTCCTAAATATCATTAATTCCAATTTCAAGAGAGCGGCATTTGGTTGGAATCGAGTACTTAAATATTCAATTTTTACGCATTTATAGTGAAATGATTTTCTTTTTTTTCCTGTTTTGAAAATATTAAAATAATAAAATAAAACTTATTTTAAATAATAACGGTTCGATGTGTTTAATAAAACTAAAAAAAAAAAAAAACTATATTCCTTAAACAAATACCTTAACTTTAAATCGGTCTTTTTATAAAAGCAAAAAAAGTCGTCGATTTTGAACTAAGAAATATATTATAAAGAATACATGGTCGCAGCTGGGTTTTTTTTTTGAACAAAAACTGCCGTTTAGTAAATGCAAAAATCAGAAAATTAAACAATCTTCGATCTGGGACGCGTAGCCTAATGGTAGCGTGTAATGTAATAGAATTTTTAAAATTCATACAATAATCTCTTAACGTTCAAAAGTTATAGCCACATAAAGTTTGAATCCCCCTCAATTTGAGGGGGTGTCGAATTTTATAAGACCATTATTATTGAACGCTAAAAGATTGTTTTACAAAATTAAAAATTTCTCGATGAATATAGATTTAGTTGAGAAAAGTAAAAAACTTATTCTATTGACTTGTTGCTCTCACGTTTGGGGCAGGTGTAGCAAAAATTTTGGGGTTTTTTTGTTCCCAGGCTCCTATCATATCAATTTTTTGCAAAGTATCCATATTTGATATAACTATAAACATATAAAAGTTTCGAGTTCGCTTCATGTCTGGAAGTTAGTTATTTCAAACTTCAAAAAATCCTGTATCCGCCCCTGGGTTTAGTGTGTTTAGTTTTAGTGTTTTTTTCAAACAATTCTCCTAGACTTTTTAAAAAACCTTTGAGTTTGCTATGTTTTGTAAACGCCTACCGAAAGTCGGTAGCAAAAAAATAAAAATTACCCTACCGAAAGTTTTTTTTATTGGTTGAGAATATCACATGTCAAAATAAACAATATTTGTTATACCGTAAAATGAAGAAAATTTAACATATTATTTTTAAAAGACAAAAACGTAAAAAATGTAAAAAATTAAATAGGATTTTCCATTAAATAAATAGAAATGACTCCCACCCCATACCAAAACCCTCAGTCAATGCATGTACACTACACAGCGCCTATCCCTATATTAGTAAACGTATGTGCACTTCACTGCGCCTATCCCTAAGCTAGTAAATGTATGTACACTTCACTGCGCCTATCCCTAAATTAGTAAATGCATGTACATTCCTCGGTGCCTATCCTTAAATCAGTCAGTGTATGAACACTCCATTGCGTATAGAAAATGTTAAATCTTACATTTATATTATGCATTTATAAATGATATCTAAAGTTTATAGAAAGCAGTGTCACTTAGTAAAACCTTACTAATAGTCATATTAAAATGATAAACTGCTCAGTTAACTACAACAACTGGGTCCCAGCTGGAATGTAACTAGATTATTGGAACTGAAATATGGCTGGGATTTGAACTGGGTAAAAGATGGGTCCCATATGGTGCAACGATTGCGGCAAAAATTATGCTTGAAAACATGATAAAATCTTTTAAAATGACATATGCAGTAACGCAGATTGATTTGGATTTTCTTTTTTAGTATTTTTGTAAAAAATAATTATTTACATATCAGCTTTAGTTTATAATAAAAGTATAAATATTTTTATAGCAATATTTAGATATTCATTTAACAAACGTTTTTACAAAAAAAAAAAAAAAAAATATGGCATTCTCTTAATCTACTTCTTAAATGCTAAATAAAATACTTTTTAAATGCTCTAAACTTCATAACCATTAATAAGTTTGAGAGTATGTCAATATTTACTTTTTTACAGACTTGTAAAATGTTTTATCAAACTGTAAACATATTTTTATTTTTTTATGCAATAGACAAATAATATAAATTTTTCAAGTTAGTTTTTATGGTTTGGTGTGCTAACAGTTATGGCTTAGTAACTAAGTTACAAAAATGAAATACACTAAGTTAGTGTGTTTCATTTTAAATTATCTTTTTTGAGCAAATCTCAATGACACTTTACAAAACATGGTAAGTAATACTGTCTTATCTAAACTTTACATATTATTTATAAATACATAAGTGTTTTACATTTTCTATAATTTATATAATTAATAATATAATACTTATATTATAAATACTGTAACTGATATTATAAGTTATAATATAAGGTTTTGTATAAAAAAATGTTTAAATTATTTATATCGTGAATTATTGTACATGTGAAATATGTACATAGTAAGTAATAACAAAAATTATTAGATGTTTTAACGTTTAGCTTTATTTATCTGAAGTTATAAGAAAATTATCACATTTTGTTTGAATATATTTATTTATTAAATACATTTTTTAATTCTTTAAAATATAAATATTTATATATATTTTGATAGCAATATTCAGACATTTGTTTAAGAAACAATACGACTAGTCTAAAAGAAGGAAATGTTGAGTTTTAAGGTTTTAAGATGTTTTTTAATTATCACAGGATGTTAAATAATTTTTTTAGGATATCTTCTAAAATAAATTAAATATATAATCATAAAATGCTACTCAAGTGCAATATAAAAATGAAAATGTAGTTTTCAAACTTAATATTGCAAAAACTGAACCTTTCAATAATCATAAGTGTTTTGTATTTTTCACTTGCTATAGTAAGTTAATTTCATTGCGTTATTGTATGATATCATATAGTCATATATAATATGTTTATTTACAAAGTTATAAAAAAGATATCAAATGTTTTTGGTAATAAATTTTCTATATATGTTATTTTTGTATACAACTAAATTAAATTTCAAATTTTAATAAAACTTTATTAAATTTATTAAAGAGGTTCAATAGTATCTATGTTTTGTTTTTAGAGTTGGTTTGTGTTGATTTATGATTAACAACAGAAAATGCATTAATTCAGCAAATGTTAGTTTATTACACATTAGTTATATAATCTCCTATGAAATGGTTCATCTACATCTAGTAAGTTAACACTTAATCTGACAAAATTATTTTGAATATTTTTGTTTCAGAAAGTTCAGGAAAGTTTTACTTTCCTCAAGTTTTTATATCTCAAACTATTAGTTTACAGAGTTTGATAAAATAAATAAACAGGGTTGCCACTCAACCTGGAAAACCTGGAATACTTGGAAATAACATAAATCCCACGGAAAATCTGGAATACTCAGGGATTTTCTAAAAATTTTATAAAATTCAGGGCAAACTCAGGGAAAATATATATATTTTTTTTGAATTTTGTACAATAATTTTTTTTTTCAAAAATATTATGCTAATACATATAATAATAAGTTTGCTAGTTGTGGGTGTTGTTGTAAAAGTTTTAGTTTGTCAAATATAAAGATTGTGTTTAATTAAGGAAAATAATAATCTCGATGATGAACAGGAAATAATATAGAAAAGTCAGGGAAAACTCAGGGAACTTAAAGAGTTCAACTCAGGGGAAAACGTTCTTTACTCAAGGAATACTTAGGTAAAAACTTTGAAAATATAGTGGCAACCCTGATAAAATAATTTCTGTATATTTAAAATATATAAAATATGAAAAATATACAGGTTTTTTCTAATATTGACCTCGGCTTCTCTGAATGGGTAAGTTCTGTGAATAGAAGATGGACTGTGAATCTCTAGGAAATGTGAATGTTATTATGATAGCACATATTTTTACATCAAGAATAGTGTGTTTTACATTATTCTCATTAAAAGTTTGTGAATATATGTGATAAAAAACATTCTTAAAACTATATATACAGTAGTGTGACATGATTTGGAATAAATATACATTTAAAGGATTTTTCACATAAACTTCATTTGGTACCTCAATGGTAGTTTGTTTTTATTTTTATTTTCATTTATCTGTTGATTAGTAGAATAATATGTACTAGTAATAATATTTACATATGGTAAAGCGTGTATGTTATTCATGCAATATAATTTCAATAGTCATTTTTTTAATAGTTTAATGGCAGCATGTATTGTCATCAATACATGCTGCCATTGTCACAATGTAGTAAAGTTTAAAAGTTATTTATGTATAATGATTTTTTAAACCAATTTGTTAGGGTGTTATATTTTTTAGAATCTACTGTGAAATAAGTTTAATATATAATCACAAAATGTAGCTCTAAGACAACATGAAATTAAACAATAAATTCTGGTCCACGATAATTGAAATATGTTATGTTAGACTAATCATGAATATAACTATTATATATAATAAAATAAGTACTCTGCACTTGTTTATAATTGTAAATTTTCATTGTGAAAATAATTTTATTACAAAATTTATTTTGGTCAAAACTACAATTGTTTTTAATTTTTTTCAAAATGTTTAAATTGTAACAAATAATTATTTTCAAGTAATAATATAACCTAAAAGGATTATTGTTTAATTAGGTACAATCAAAATGTTGGTTTGATGTCAGGTTAATTTGAGTCAAAACTTTAATTTTTAAATGGTAACATAGTATTCATGTTATATTATTGTTGTTTACAAGTCTATTTATGTCATGCCTAATTATTAACATCAGTTATTTACCATGAAATAACATTGTTTTTAGATTCCCTGCAGGATGCCTGTTAAAAAGAAAAACTGAAGAAACTTTAAAACTAGATGATGCCAAATAAAGAAGTTGAAACACCGTTATTCATGGTGTCATATCCAGTATTTATTTTTATATTTTACTATATATATTATGTTTATTTTTTTTTTATTTTTGTTATTTTTGTAACAACAAACTATGTGAATAATTAATTGTTCTGCCCTGGGCCTCTACTTCAATCTGGCTATTATTATAACACGTATATCGATTTATATATTGTATTGAGTTAGCTTGTGATTTGTACGTGTGTTTTTGTTTGCCTAGTGTTTGTTAGTTATATGCAAGATATGGCACACTGCATGATATGCTCTAAATAATATTATCAATAAATATTTTTATTTATACTTTGTAAATATATATGTTATAATTTATTATATTATTCAGATGTTTATTTTTAATTTATAAAATTAGTGTAAAAGTGGATGAAAGCACTAAAAAAAACGACAACAATAAACTTTAAAGCAGAATTTTGTCATGCGATTATGGTGGCGATATGAGAGAACTAATGTGGCAGAATATTACTATCGTAGAACAGTTTTGCATCAAATCATTGTATAATATTAGTTTTTTGTTGCTTAAAAATATTATGAAATTCAAATCTGTTTTTTCAATTGATTCGTATAAATTATGTCAGACCAAATATTCATTTGCCTAATACATTTTATTGCCCTGACAGCGAATTCAATATAGATAATATAAATAACCTTTACTTTTTAATTTTATATAAAAAATGCGACGCTTTTTAATAAAAAAATTGTCACATTATTTCGCAGATTCGAGATACAAAAAATCTGCGAAAAAACAAACTATAAAAAGTTGAGAAAACCCGCGGTAAATGAAAAAAATATCTGGGTTCAATATGGAATTTCCCGTCAAAAACCCAGACTTATCCCAGATGGGACCCAATTGGATCTTACTGACAGAATCGCAATGGGTCCCAGCGTTTTCCCCAGTTGGGACCCAGTTGGAATGGTTAACTGGGTAGCTTTGTTAATTGCAAGGGTTGCGTCTTAAACCTGTTAGAAGCTCAGGAAAGATGACGGAAGCGATTCATTGCAGCCACGCAGTATTCTCCAGCAAGTCCAATATCAAGCAACAAAAAAAGTATCATTTATTAAACACCTGTTCTATGAAAATTGGCTCAACGGCTCGATAGTAAAGTATACAACTGATATAGTAACTCTTCATCAAATTATAAATAGATTTATTGTATTTGTGTTTTTTATTGTTTTTTTATCACTGAATAAAAATTAGAAAAAAAAATTTTTTGCCAAAATTAATTTCCGAACTTAAATTCCCGTATCTATTTAAGCACAAAGTATAGCATTTTAATCAGCTTTATATCACCTTTATAATTGGGATTAAACGAATACTTAAAACGGTTGTTTAAAGCCAAGAAGAGAAAGCAACTTGTCAAAATTACAATTTGCAAATTAGGAAGTCGCAAAGACCAATGTTAACATTAAATTATAAAAACGCAGTAAAATATTTTTACATTAATCACTGTAGTTATCCTGATTTAAACAGCATAGTTTTACATTTTGTTACTGTATTCCGAAGCACAATAGACCACGTGTTGAACATTGACCTGGATATCTCACAAACAGAAAACAATATGTAAATAATGCCCAATCTGGAGTGTTAAATGTCATATGCGGAGTTCCGCAAGAATCGATTCTTGGTCCACTTCTTTTTTTAATATATATAAATGACTTCTGTAATGCATCCTTAAAACTTTATTCAGTCATGTTTGCAGATGACACGAATTTATTTCTTACCAACAACGATATCAGGAAATTATATGCGGACATGAGTATTGAACTAAATAAAGTAATAACTGGTTTAAGGGTAACAAACTCTCACTTAATGCTGAGAAAACAAACGATATACTTTTTTATAAAAAAACACAAGAAGAAAATCTTCCTCTCAAGCAGCCGAACCTATTTATAAATGACAAATTAATTAAAAAGCAATCCAATATAAGATTCTTGGGAATTGTTGTTGATCCTGTCTTCCTCGTATAATATATATCCAGTCAAAAATTACCAAAATCATAGGTTTAATGTATCGAATTCGCTCGTACATCAATACAAATAGTCTTAAATTAATCTACTTTGGGCTAATTCACAGCCTCATCAGCTATGCAAATATTTCATGGACAAGTACTCAAACAGCAAAACTTAAGAAACTTTATAGTTTTCAGAAACCTCCCTGTAGAATCATATACTTTAAAAATAGGCGGGAACACGCTAATCCTTTGATGAAAGATATGAAAATGATGAATGTATTTGAAATAAATATCTACCAGCATTTAACTTTCATGTATCGTTACAATCGCAATATCTCTCCTATAAGCTTTAATAATAAGTTTGAGTTAAATAAAAGTGATAACTATAATTATAGGGCGAATATGTTGAACACATATAAACTGCCTAGGATAATAAATAAATATTCAGAATACAGCATTTTATATCGAGGTCCAAAAGTATGGAATACTTTTCAAAAAGGGTTCAAAGGTACGGTGAGTTCGTTAAGTTCATTCAAGCTTTTAACAAAAAAAGAAATTTTTAAAACCTGTGAAACATTTTTTGTTAATAATGCTTTGGATAAATTCTCTTAAATACGTTTTTGTTTTGTTTCTACTTTTGTTTGTTGCCTGACAAATTTTATAAGCGGATTATGCATTTTGTTATAATATTTTATTGAAATTTTTATTTTGTATGTCATATTATGATATTTTAATTAAATCTTGTTAAAGGGATTCTACGAAAAGATTGCGATGACGTTCTGTCATCCTCATCTTCTTTGAGCCCCTATCTGTTTTACTTATTTTATTAAATTTTATGTTATGTAGTGGAATTTGTAAAATTCTTATATTATGTAAACAGAGAAAGAAAGAAAAAAAAAAAAAAAAGAGTACTACATCGTAATCTACTACATTTTGCAATTATATTAAATGCATGACTGGTTATTAACTTTAAAAACAGTTTTGCAACATCTTTGCATAAAGGACGTACCTTAAAATTGAATTAAATAGGCTAATAAATCTTTATGAATTTTGTAATAGTTCAGATATGTTGACGATTCTTTGCTTGGAACATATGGTTATAGAAACTTTTTAACTTGTCAGCTTTCAAAATTAATTTAATCCTCCTGGATTTCTATTTAAGAAAGCTAGTGAACAGTCATTTTTAGATATTTGCTCCCCTGTGATCTTTATAGCTATAATTATAGCTATAACTCCTGTGGTTTTTATATAACTAGAAAAATTAAGCTTTAGTCAAACAAACTTTAAATTAATCTGCATTTTTTTTAGGTGTTTATTTCTAACAGGAAGTCTACGTCATAGGTAATAATACGTCACTGGTTAGAAAGTAAATAACTAATGTGATTTCAAATATGGAAGTAAGTATGTTATTTAAAAACATGTGAGACCGCTTACTGAGGCGCCTTAAAACCAATCCCAACTGCATTTATATTTAAATTTATATTTACATGTCACAGCATACTTACATGCCTGTATTGTGCTAAAAGACCATTTAAAAAACTAATCAATCATTTAACTCTAATAGAAACCATCTAAAAGGGATAATAAAACTTACTACGCCTTTTCAAAATGTATTTGAAAACACTAATGTTATAATTAAAAAGCATAATATGTAATTAAGTACATAAAAGTTGTAAATAAGAAATTGTGCGATGTAATTGAGAACATGATATATGTTGTTAAGTAAGTTTTATAATATAGATACTCAGAACAAAGTTATTTTTAATTTTTAAGTCTTGATTTACTTTGTAATTATGTCTTGTAATTATAATCATGTCCAAGAAGACCTTTCATAATAACCTAAAAGTTTAAATTGTTGTTCGTTCCCAATTTATCTATTACATATTACGATTTCTTCATTGCATATTGTGATTCATAATTACATATAATGTTTTCTAAATTACATGTTGTGTTTCTCAATTACAAATACAATTTTGCAATTAATTACTTCTTTCATGTTCTCAATTACATTTTAATAGGTGTAAACGCTTAAATAGATGATGTAACTTAAAAGAATAAATTTCAGTAATGACTCGAATAAAATTTAATCATTTTACTACTGCTTTGAAATGAAAATCTTTATACTTTCTACTAACAAAACATAAAAGTATTTTCTTATACCACAGCATAATTGAACCTGTCATTTCGAAAAGGACACAAGTCCAAACCTTTCAACAGTTAGTTTACAAATTTAAGTTAAGAATTTTTGTATGATTTATGTTACATAAGTTATATACGTTCTTTATTCTATGTTTAGATTTTTTACCAGCGTAGATATTATTTTAATAAAATCGGTTTTGAAAAGTTTTAATAAATGGACTTGTGCCCTTTTCGAAATGACAAATTCAATTGTGCTTGCCGAAACTTATAACTTAAGATTACAATGAAACTGAATAGTCTAATGATCAAATGTACAAGGTTTTATGGTTTAGGTAGTTCATTTTTTCCTGTGTAATTCAGCGTTAACGCTATATAACACAGGGAAAAAATTTGAAACTTTTTTTCTGTTGACCTAAGTTTTTATGTTATTTTTAACTAGATTTAGTACGCTTATTACAAATTTTTCAGCACGTCAAGTTTTTTCTGCATAGCTTACCCTACATATTTATGGTTTGGCGAGAAAGAGATCATTGCACATACTGTTAATATTGTTTAGTAAAAAGATCAGAATTTAACAAAACAACAACACAAAAAAAAAGTAAAACAAAATATTTTAATCTATGTTCATCTATTAGACCATTCAGTTGAAATTACAACGCCAGTTTATGAATAACTATCTCCTGTAGAAGACATCAGCAATGATGCAGGTTTTTAAATTCTTGAGCATTCAGTTAATAGGGAATTTAATCAGCATGATTATATTGAATAGCAGAACTTGGAGGAAGCCTTGAATAAAGATTTAATAGTCTCCAAGATTAGATTTGCAATTAATTACACAGAAATTGTTCAGAAACTATTAGAGAGCTACAAAGCTGTTGGTTGTAAAATAGATGTTAAACCACAATTTATGAACTTTCATCTTTCTATGAGCTATGCAAGGTGAAACATTCCACCAAGATTCGAAGGTTATGGATGAATGTTGACAGGGTTGATAGCTGACTATTGTTGGAGCATCAAACCTAATAATCCTCAAGTTGAACATTCCAGAAAGACCTGTAAACATTACCTATACCTCTTGTAAAAACATAATAGTGTTAAATAAACATAGCAACCATTCCTGTTTCTTTCTTATTTTCTTGTATTTTGATATTTGTGTTTTTTTTATATGCGAACATATATATATGCAATAAGTATAGTATTTTTCATACTTTTTCCAAAAAAGGAGATTTAATGGTTAAAAAATTTAACATGATAAACTAAGATCATTTTTTATCAAAAAGTCATTAAAAATTTAGTTAAAAACAAATCTTAGACTTAAGTTAGCAAAAATTTTGTTCCCTAATGTTAAATGATACAATAAAATCAATAATTTCATAGTATACTTGCGTTTTTGAAAGGATAAAGTTTAAAACCAAATGAAACATAAAAAACAAGATATTTAACTAAATAAATATATACGCATAATATAATTCCAAAATTAACTTGTTCTAATGAAGGAGCTGTTGAAACTTTTCCCAAAACTTTTTTTAAATTTCAGTTTATTTTAACCAAGTTTTTCTTTGATATATTTTCATTTTCAAAGACTGTAACAGTTAACAGGAGAAAAGTATATCATACAATAAACCTTTTTATTTTTGTATAAACCTTTTTTATTTTGTTTCTTATTATTTTGACTCTTTTTTGATTTCAATGAAAGTTTTTTTAAAACTTTTCATTTCCTCGATTAACACATCAACTTTTATGTGTAATTTGTTGATTTCGTCGAATTTACGGTTCAACTCTTTTAATAGTCGTGCTGAATCTGTCAATTGACGGTTACTTTTTTCCAGGAAATCTTCAACATTTACGTAAGGAGAGTTGCTAATTTTGAAATTTTTAATGGCTACAAAAAACTTTGTTAAGGTTATAAATTTTATTGCAATTTTGTATTGTCTTGTTATTTCATTTTTTTTTACAAAGTTATCTGCGACTGTAGAAAAACAACTGTTTTCAAGAAATTCTTCTAAAATTATCAAGTTATTTGTGTTTTTATGTTTTTTAAACAAGTTTCTTTCATTTGAATATTTTTCGTGCCTTAAGGGATCAGTAGAGCTTCGTGGCTTCTTTTCATTTATAAAATTAGGAATTTTTTGTTTAAACGCATCATCTACCATCTTATTTTCGCACAAAATATGTGAAAAAACCTGAATTTTTATGCTTTTTAAGTTGTTGTTAATTGCATAAATTCTCCAGGCAGTTTGGATAACAATGCAAGCAGGATGTTTTATTTCCATACTTCGTTGCTCTCTTTTTTGCCTTGATACGTGTATTGCTAGACCAGAACCAATAATTCCGGCCGGTAATGAAAAAAACGCACAACCAAAAGCCGATAAAAATCCCGTTAGAATCTTTCCCGCCCATGTTTTGGGTAAATAATCACCATAGCCGACTGACGTAAACGTTATTACTCCCCAGTACAATCCATTGGCCATGTTGTCTATTTGATTTTCTGAACTTTGGTTGTGTGTTTTCTCTACCGCGTAAATAATGTAAGATCCAAACAGTAGTATGTTCAGACACACAAAGTAACTTGATAAAAGTTCTTTTTTATGTTCTCGCAATATGTTTAACATTGTTAGTATATCTCCTCTTCGGCGATCTAACCTAAGAATTCTAAACATTTGAAAACATTGAAAAAATTTGCTGAACCTTAATAAATCTAACGAAGCATCGTTTGATTTTATTACGACGGAAGTAATTGTCGACAAAATTATAAATATGTCTGCGAGCATATAAATATTTTTCATGAAAACAAGTCTACCAATAAAACCGCTGTAGTTTGAAATAACGCCGCAAACAATAAGACGAACAGCTAACTCAGCCACAAAGATAGCTAGCATAAAAATTTCATATTTCCAAAAAAGCATTTGAACAGTGGTACTTTTTTCATATACATCGATTGTTGATATAATTCCAATTAAAGCGTTGCACATGATTGACAATAGCACAAGTGTGTGATACAACACTGCATACCTTGAAGAAGGTCTTTCCATAAAATAAAACACTTTCAATCGAAATTTATGCAAGTACATTACAAGTCTTAAATTCAAAACAACGTTTAACAAACTTGTAGAAACACGATTTTCATACGATTTAAAAGCTTCAGAAATTTTTTTTTTTTTTAAATAAATAAACAACACGGATTTTTTTACATATTAAAGTCTAGCGAATTTTTTACTTATAGGAGATCAGACAGGAAAAAGAAGCTGAGAGTCCATTAAAAAATAAACACTTTTTTATAAAATTGTACTTGTTTATATCTTAACTTATTTGCTTATGAATTATAACAGTTTTATTGCAGTGTATCATTTTATACTTTTAAAAGCATTTTCAAAACAAACGTTCAAATGTTTGTTTTGAGTCATGATGTTTTTGTTTACACTTTTAACTTTGATGATTTTGAAATACCTTTTGCTTTTAAATGTAATTATTTTTTTTAGTATTCTAAATAATTTGAAAAACTGGGCCTAAGCAAAAATTACTTATTTGCTACCAAAACAGGCTAAATGAACATTAAACATTTTTTATAAGTTATAAATTACTTTGAAGACTGCGCTTTTAACAACAAAGTCAACTCTTTGCTGCTAATTACACAATTAAGGCACACCTTTAAACTAACCATATTTATTCACGAAGTCTGTGTGTTATAACGAATTATTAAAAAATTATAAAAGTTCACGACTGGGAAGCAATCCACTGGTTTTTAGGGTGGTCATCTTCCTCTTATCATAAGTATTAAAAACATGGCAATTATTACGTAATCACGGCTGCTGAGCGAAAAAAAGCGTCAAATTTGTGAAGCGAATGTAACAGTATCCGGGATTCATATTAAAAGCTGAACATTTTAACGGAGTTAAGTCATAACCGTCAGCGCAACTTGTTACTGTTTAACATGCAACTTTTTACCGTTCAAAAATGTTCAGTGAATCGTAGTATTACCCGTTAATTCAAGTACCTTTAGAAATTCATTTGACAAAGTAAGCGTGCTTTCAAATGTGTGTCATTACACCAGTTTGCAAAAATGTATACGCAAGATGGGGCTTCTTAACTTCAATAAACTATATCAAGAAAAAAAGTGAATAACGACAAATTAAACGCACTTGGCCTTCTTGATCAGCCTTCTCGTTTTGTTACCCGACTTTACCGTAATAAACTCATTAATGCTAAAGAGTCAGCTAAGGAATTGCAATCTATCTTTATTATGCAGTCAACAGTTGATAAAGCTATTGCCGACGCAAAGCGAACAAAAGCCGAACAAAAGCGGAATCGGATAACACAATCGAAGTCTAAATATACTTGATTCATACCTCCTAAGTTATCAAATTTAAGAATCTTGCCCACAAATGCAAATTCACTTGAAAAAAAAAATCTACAAACTTGCTAATTGAAAAAAATCTACAAACTTGCTTGTAATGCACCCACGAAATTGAGACTCATATATACCATAGCAATTGCTAAAACAAAGTTTGATCCTGATAATATAGCATTGTTAAATGGAGATTTTACTAAATGAAATGAAAAAATATGGCGTAAAAAATCAAGCTTTAAATTGGTTTAAAAACTACCTAAATAACAGACAACAGTGGGTTATTACAGATAAAAAAGCAAATCAAGTTTACTGAGAACAAAATGTGGCGTACCCCAAGGTTCCATTCTTGCTCCTATTTTGTTTCTTATTTATATAAACGATCTTCTAAATGCCTCAAATATCTTTAAAACTATAATGTTTGTCGACAATACAAACTTATTTTACTCAGCAAAGACAATCAAAGACCTTTTTGAAAAAACAAATGCTGAACTAAATAAAATTAATATATGGTTTAAATCCAATAAACTGTCACTCAATATAGAAAAAACTAAATACATACTATTTTACTCTAATCAACAAATTAAAAAAATACCAACCTTACCAACAAATACCAACAAATACCAAACAAATACCAACAAATTAAATAACCTACCAACACTTAATATAGAAAATATAACCATCAAAAGAGTTCTGAATACAAAGTTTTTTAAGAGTTCTAATTGACGAACATATCTCCTGGAAACCCCACATAAATTACATTAACACAAAAATGTCAAAGAACATTAGTTTACTATAAAAAGCAAGACCATTTTTGTTTCAAAAAAGTCTAAAACTTATCTACTTTTTATTCATACATAGCTACCTGATGTATGCCAATATAGCATGGGGCAGTATCCATAAATTTAAATTAGAACCATTTTACCTACGTCAAAAACGCACTGCAAGACTAGTATACAATAAAAATAAATTTGCTCATGCTCAACCCTTATTGGAACAAATGAACGTTCTAAATATATTTCAAATAAATATTTTTCAAAATATACTTTTCATGTTTAAATATCAACTAATTCTGGTTCCAGAACATTTAACAGCACACTTTTTTAAAAAACAATATAAATAAATACAATACAAGAGCAACAGGCAACTTTAAGAGACCGTTTGAAACAACAAGATTCTCAAAATTCTCAATTACATATTGTGGTCTCTATTTATTTAACAAATTAGTTTCCAGAAACGAATCACTATTAAACCTAAACAACAGAACAATCTCTGAGAATAAAGCTAAAATTTACAATAGTCAAATTAAACAACTATGAAGAATTTTTTTTTAAATATTAATAAAAAAAATTTTTTAAATGTAGCTTAACTTTTAATACAAATTGATAATAAAAAATAATAACATTATTAACAAGGTATATATGTACAACATACATATATACCACGTATGCAACTGATTTTTATGTGTGTTACACGTTCAGAAAAAGGTACTCGATGACAAGACTGACTTAAGTCTTCTGGGAGCTTCCTATAACTACTAACAAGTAATTCTTCTTATCAATCATACACAAACTCCGTTTTTATCATATATATATATATATATATATATACAAACATTAGTTTAAAATGTGGTAAATAAACTTATAGTCAAACATCTAAACACTTCTCCGAAAAGTCAGCTAATTTATTTTTATTTATTGTATTTTTTTATTTTAACTGGAATAATATAGAGATATATTTATGGGATTATTTTTACGTACACGTTACTACATTGTTGTAATTGGCGTTTATTTTAATCGTGTCTCGGAGTTGTATGCAACTATATTTTTGTTTACTTCGTATATTTCGAACTTTATGTTTATGATATTTATGTTTTTTTTTTTTTTGTTGTTGTTTTTTTTTTTTGTTTTTTTTTTGAATTTTTCATGCTATATTTTTCTAAACAATGTTCTTATATCCGAAGATATTGTTGGCTTAGCATAGGAACAGCCACAAATAGTCATTAAGACTAATCCAAAGTAGCGTCCGTTATTGACCAAAATTTTTGCGTACCGAAGTACTACTCAAGCGCTGAGTTGGCGGTGGCAGGATTTGAACTCGTATCTTACAACAGTCCGGGTTTAAACATTTTGACAAAAAAAATCTATTAAATGTTACCCATTTTGTTGATATTTTATAGAGAGAAACCTTTTGATGTATCTTGGGAGCATGCACAAGTGGTAAAAACAAATAATTTAAATAGGAAACGAACTTCATACCATGTTAAGTATTGTAACAAATCTGATAAACTATTTTCTTTTTCTTTATTAATTGATTTTTAAAAAGGCAATCTTATTATTTGTAGCTAAGATAGTGTGTTAAAGGTCTTCCATGAAGTACATACGCAGGTGCGGGATAAGGGGTTTTTCATAAACGTAGAAACATGTACAAAGGATGAGGGAGTATTAAAAATTGCGAGTATGTACACGATGCTTGAATATCACTCGTTCTTTATATCTCTTAAATTTTTTTAAGAAAAGCATTAAGTTTAATGAATTTAAAAAATCAATATTATGTTTTTTTTGTTGTTTTTTTTAGGTGTCCCAAGAAGTCATACGGTCTTATCACAGAGCACCGCGGAAGTGTAACAGAGAAATATTAAAAGTCTCTAAAAATTTTTAAATTTTTTTAAAATTTTTAGATATTTTCATTTAAAAAATTTATGCTTTGGAAAAACGAAAACTGGTTGATTTTGTAATAAATAATACGTAAGTACGCAGAGGAGGGAGTCGTTTAAAGCATATAAGTGCATACAAGAGTGGGGTGTCCTAAATCAGTGTATTTACTGAGTATATACTTTATGGATGTCCTATTATCCAACGACTATCAAAGATTATTTAAAGAAAAAGATCCAAGGTTCGAAGCGAGCTCTGAGCATATTTTGCGCCATTGATAAGGAAAGAGGTGTGAACTAATTAAATGCCCGTCCGCGGTGCCACAGAGCACCACGGACGGTGCTCTGTGTCCATACAAAATCGTTAGATCTTCTTGGGGCACCTAAAATAAAAATTAAAAAAAAATTAATTATAGATTTTACCTATTTCACCAAATAATATTGTCAGTATTGTGCTAATGAAAATTAACTGATCTTAAGGATTCAAAAAATTGTTGCTCTGTATTTTACTAAGATATTGTTAAATAAGCATTTTGCCACTTACGCCACTTACTTCCTTACTTAAAGAAATTTATTAAAAACAGCTATCATAGTATAAAATGTAAAACAGCTTAAATCTACAATCGTGCCCACAAGGTCGGGGTAGCCAGGAAGGTTGGGGGGATTTTCCCATGGGTCTCTGCTATGCATAAAGGTCCAGGGCCCCACTATAAGTTAAGGTGCATAAGTAAAACACACAAAAATACAAGGTAGTAATAACTATTTATAATTTAAATGCATTAGTTTTAAAAATCGTAGAATTAACTGTTATAATAAATACAGTAGTTAATTCTACAATTAAAATATGAAATGTTTAATAAAATACACAAAGACATGGTTAGGCAGCCTTATATTATAATTAATTAGTGGTTAAATTATTAAATTATTTTGAGTAAGAGACAAAAAATTGAATTTTTACCAAAAAACATTAATCTTCGTGTTTTGTATGCTGGTTCAAAATTATTTTTGAGCCCCCTCCTTACAACGATTATATTATTAAGAGATTCAGAATGTAATATTAATATTAAAAAGCAATAATAATCTGGTTAGGGAGCACTGGCTTATTATAAGCCAGTGCTTCCCAACTAATTGATTGTTCCACAAGTTATGGTTCATGATAATGCAGATAGAGAAGAATTGATTGTTCCAGAAGTTATTGTTCAGAATGAGGATAGAGATGAAATGGTTGTTC